AGTTTTCAAAGCTAATAGAAATAAGCTGTTTGCAATTAATGAAAAGAAAACTGACAATCATACCTTAATGCTTGACATGCTTCACTCAAACATGTCATTTGTGTGTACCTACCGTTGTAGAAGTGTCTTTCATGAAAAATACTTTTTGGTGTGGCTGTTGTTCTTTGTTAACCTTTATAGCCAAAAAAGCTGGTGAAGGCACTGAAATTCAATTTATATGTACACAAGGCACCCTCCGAGGTGGAAGAGTAGAAGACCATAGACTGATGTTTACTAGGCAGTTACACTCACCACAATTTTATATTCAAGCAATACTCTACATATATAAAACTGATTACATGATGTCTTTAACCCTTTGCACCCTAACATCAGTATGCATATTCTCCTTACTGTTCTCCATACATTTCCTGGTGTGCTGGCAAGGATAATTTGTTTAACAATCAAGAGGTTCTTCAGTTGATTATCATTTCCTTAATTCTCATGACCCTAATGCTTGATTTAGGGATAATATTGAAAAAAGAAAATAGATACTACTCACTCTCAGGAATTAAAGTGTTAATAACTGTATACACTTTATATGCTCCTTGCATTTGTTGGCAACATTAGTTAAGATTGTTAGGAAAGCAAACAGATGAACAGAAGACAGTCGGTGAGGGAAACTGTAAACTTTACCCTATGGCAGAAGAAACGATAACAGAATACTTAAGAATGGAAACTTAAATTGTACTAGCCAATTTCTTCTATTGCCCTTCATGTTTTTGATCAAATGAAATTTAATCAGTTGTAGGGTTTGCTTACAATGTGTCAAATCACCAGTGTGGACTTGATTCTTCTCAGATGTCAGCTGGTAAAAGGTAGATACTAAAAATAGACGACCATAAGAAAAAGTTCACATCCTAAAAAAATCACACTGAAGTGGCGGCATAATTGATTTGTGATATTTAGAATGACAGAAACAGGAAAAACACATTGTGCTTTTTCCTATTCACTCGTAAGTTTATTAGATTTTGGATTCTACATTAAAACTGGGTGAGAACATAGAATGTTTCAAGATCTTTCTTTCTTTCTTTCCAATACCATATACTATTTTCGGAGTACTATTAACCCTTTGCACCCTACCATCAGTATGCATATTCTTCATACTGTTCTCAATATATTTCCTTATGTCCTGGCTGGGAGAATTTGTTTTACAATCAAGAGGTTCTTCAGTTTATTATTATTGCCTTTATTCTTATAACCTTAATGTTTGATTCAGGGGTGATATTGAAAGGGGAAATTAGATGCTAGTCACTGTCAGGGATTAAAGGGTTAAAGGAAGCAGGTTATTAAAAAAAATAGAACTTTGATTCAAGCAAGTATTTGAATATGTGAGTAACATTTGATGTTTTCACATGTAACAGGATGATGAAGCTGAAGATGGCCTCATAAAGGAGTGAACTGACTCTAACAATTGAGCCACTACTTTTGAAACTTGAGCACTTGGTAAATACACCTCAGCTTGCAATTCTGATGATTGCAGTTTGCTGAGGTGATTGAAATGTCAGTCCCCATCCACATGACCTGTACAGTCATAAGCTATGAGATTACTTTAAAGAAATACATTTGTGTCAGTAGAACTATTGTAAGTACAATACCACCCAGTGACAAAAATTAACGATTTCCTGTAATAATGAATGTTTGAGAGAAGTTATAGTGGTAACTGACCCTCTTTTCCTAAAATGCATAGGATTTGTTGATTGTTATGTCTATCTCTTAGCTTTTAAACTTTCAACTTTGTATTAATTGTAACTGTTTGCCATATTGATTTCGTTCTATTTCAAGCTCTCAAAAGTTGAAGCTGGTTAGTCAATTACCTGACTTTCTTTGTTTGGAATTGTGTGATTATATAATTTTGCTGTGTAAGTTGCCACATTGTAACATGTAATATTATTTGTGTTAGCTAGGTTCCCTGTTTCTGTGTTCCCGCCTTTTTTGGTCACATGACCTCTGTCGCTTGAAAATGTTCTGTGTACCGAAATTGTTTTGGTCAACTGCTTGATAGTTGCGTTTGTCTTTTGTATATTTCCTTTGGTTTTGGACATTCACTCGAGTAACAAAGTTAGAGAAGCACTTGAGAAAACCAATAAAGGCGAATTTGGTCACACAGTTACTTGAATTGCCGTGAGTTCAAGCTGCTTCAAATCGTTGTGGACCTTGCTCGAGTTGTTGTTTCTTTGACCCACCTCGTCTCTTCGTTTGACCTTGTTTATTGGAATTTAGTGCCATGAACTTCTCGCAATAATATTTTGGCGACTTCAAGTACCTTCTATATTGGTGAGAAAGAATTGTTTTTTGTAATTACAGGGGAAAATCGGAGTCACAAGTTGAAAATTATTGATTGTTTACGATGTTGATGTGGGACCTAGCAAGCGGCGAAGGTCGAACAACCATGGAACGTGAATGCACAAAAAATCCTGATGATGTGGTGTTGTCTGACCCTGAAGGTTACTCTACAATGATAGGTGTTATGTTCTCGAACTCACTCGCAAGCCTGTGAACGTAATCCAAGATGGCTGTTCTGTACAACAACCACTTTATTACATCAACACGAGGCACTATAACAAAGGCTGAGAACCTGGTAACTAGCGTATCATAATATCTCCCTTTTTTAAATGAAACGAAGAAAATGAAGAGTCTGTGAGTGTCTCTGACTAAATGCTCATTACTTGCATCAGCAACATTGTTCGCTAAACATCAACACAAGTTCTTGAAACAACCTATTGAAAGTGTTCACCCTAACTGGTGTGAGAGTCTTTCAACCAAGATGGTGGTCAAATGATGCGACCCATGAGACTGACTCTCTCAGAATTTACTGGCTCCTTAGCTGAACTTAAGGTGTTGGTTTGGGAATCTCTGAGTGTCCGTTGCTGATCTGCAGTTGCTCGGCAGTTATGTTCAGTTGCTTCAGCAGTCTTAATCAGATCACGCCTATTCCTTCTGTACCTTGTTCCTTCTGACTTGACAACATACGATCTTGGGGAGTTGCTTGCTTTTGTTAGAATGTTCTTAGCTGTCTGAACAGCTCGCTCTGCAAGTCCATTGCTCTGCAAATACCTTGGTGATGTAGTAGTATGCTTGAACCCGTAATACTTTGCAAACTCTTCTAATTCATAGCTACTGAACTCAGGGCTGTTGTCACTGACTATTATCTCTGGAATCCCCAACCTTGCCAAGTTGGGTTTGACGTGGTTGATTACAGTCTTGCTTCTGCTGTTAGGCAGGTGTGATATCTCAAAGAACTTTAAGTAATAGTCAACCATGACCAGATAATCTTGTTTGTCATGTTCAAAGAGATTGACTGCAATTTTCCGCCACAGTCTTCCTGGTATTTCATGGCTCTTGAGTGGTTCTCTTGTTTGAGCATTTCTGTACGTGTTACAGGTTCTGCACTTGGATATCATGTCTGCTATCTGTTGGTTCATTCCGGGCCAGAACAGGACATCCTGGGCTCTGTGTTTACACTTTTCAATGTCTAGATGACTGCTGTGAATTCGACTAAGCATCTCCCTCCTAAGTGTATTTGGTACAATAAGCTTGTCATTCCTCAGCAGTAGATCATCACAAACAATGATTTCTTCCTTGACATTCCAATATTCATGAAGCTTTGGTTCTATTTCGGACTTACTCTCCGGCCATCTATTAAATACTGTGTTCTTGAGCTTCTGTAAGGTTGGATCTTCTCTGGTTTCTTCTTCCAACTGTTCCAGTTTCTCCTCACTGGCTGGCGAGTTCTCAATGATGATAACCTCAAATTCATCCTTTTATTTGGCTACAGTTTCACTTTTTCCTTCTGGGGGCACAGCTTAAAGTGTCTGTAATGTACAAGTTCTTGCCTGGTTCATATTCCACTCGCAGGTCATGGCGCTGAAGCCTCAACATCTTTTGTTGCAATCTTTGTGGTGCTTGAAATAATGGTTTTTTGAACAATGGCTCGAGGGGTTTGTGGTCGGTTTCAACTCTTACTTTCCTGCCGTATACATACTGATGAAACTTAGTGTATTCATACACGATTGCCGGCAGATCTTTTTCGATTTGTGCATAATTTCTTTCAGCAGAGTTCAAAGATTGCGATGCATAACACACTGGTTGACCCTCCTGCATTAGACCCGCCCCAAGTCCATAGGATGATGTATCTACTGATACTGTCATGGGCTTGTAATCATCATAATACTGGAGTACTGCATCTCTTGTTAGGTTATCTTCGATAGCTTGAAATGATTTCTCCTTCCTTTCCAACTAATGCCATTCCACATCCTTGTGCAGAAGCTCTCTGAGGGGCTGGGTGAGGTCTGATAAGTTAGGTATGAATTTACTTATGTAATTCACCATTCCAAGGAACCATAAAAGTGCTGGCTTGTCTTCTTGGGATGAAATTTCCTCCACTGCTCGCACTTTGCTAGGATCTGGTTTCAATCCATTTGCTGTCAGTATGTGGCTAATGTATGGTACTTGAGAGGTCTTGATTTTCATTTTGCCTCTGTTGAGCTTCAATCTAATTTTCCTTAATCTTTCCAATACCTGCTCTAAGCGAAGGTTGTGCTCTTCATCATTCTTTCCCCAGACAAGGATGTCGTCTGCGATTGTCTTAACACTACTGTAACGAATTCTCCAGAGATTAATGGAGCATTGATTTACCACAACGCTATTGCATAAGCTGAGCTACAAACTTCTCCATATTCCGGGACATTCTATTGAGTTATTTTTAAGGATATGTCATCATTAGCGTCTAAAATGTTCTTGCTGCTAAATATACTGTTTCAGAAATAAGTATGATGTAATCGGCTACTATAGATAAGGTTCGAGATCATAAGGTTTTCAGAAGTTTAAGATAAATAATAAAGTGTTTAAAAAAGGAAAACAAGAATCGTCTCCTGGCTTTGTGACATTTTTGGTGGCAGTGCCGGGATAACCTTGCAAAGGTTTTACATCAGTAAGCAAGGACCCACAGAAGAGTAGAAGCAATGGATTTCGAAGCTATGGAATACAAAACCAGACAGAAGGGGCGGAATACACTTACCTTTGATAGGTTGAAGGAAATGTGCGTGGAGAGACATATTGACTTCGGTGATAAAAACAAAGCAGAGTTGATTGATCTTTTGAGTGAGTTTATGGAGCTGAAAACCGGTGATACAGTGGCGATTTCTCAACCGGAAGTTACATCTCAGCCGGAAGTAAACGTTCAAATTATGAAGATGCTTATTCAGATGCAAGAAATGCAGATGCGATGGCTAGAAAGAGGAGGATCGAATAGCGAAAGAAAAAGAATTAAGAAGGCAAGAAGAACAAGAAATGAAAAAAAATTGAGAAAGAGTAGAGGTTCCTGTCAGAACAGATGAAAGAGTTAACTAATTCCAAAAAGGAAAAGGACACTGTAAAGCTACCAAAACCAGTACTTCAAAAGTTCACAGAAGGGGATGACATCGAAAGCTTTTTAGATATGTTTGAGAGAGTGGCCTCCCTCCACAAACGGCTAAAAACTATTTGGGCAACACAGTTAGCTGGTGTATTAGAAAAAGAATTAAGAAGGCAAGAAGAACAAGAAATGAAAAAAAAATTGAGAAAGAGTAGAGGTTCCTGTCAGAACAGATGAAAGAGTTAACCCTGTAAAGCTTTTTCCATCCCAAAAGTTCCCACTGAAAAGAGCCTATCCACAAACGGCTAAAAACTATTTGAACACGTTAAGTATTATCTGGAAAAAAGCACTGAAAAGCCTATGAAATATGACGAAGTAAAACATGCCATCTTGAAACGATACAATGTGAACTCTGAAACGTATCATCTGAGATTTCGAAATGATTCTTACAAGCCAGGCGAGTCACATCATGAATACGTCAATCGTTTAGAAGAACACTTCCAGCACTGGACAAAGTCGTAAGAGATGGAACTCAGAGACATGATAATTTTGGAGCAATTTCTTCAAGGAGTGTCAACTGATCTATCAGTTTGGCTTAAAGAAAGAAAACCTAAGTCAGCTAAAGAAGTCGCACAAATGGCTGATGACTATGTTCTCGCCTGTGGAACTAAGCCTCCATATGAGAGGTTAAGCAGACCCCAACTACTACGAGGTGAAGCTGCCATTAAAGTGACACAGCAAAAACAGGAATCATCAAGGCCTCTTTTCAGAGCTCCTCTTTCAGAAGTACACAATATGTTGCCTCGAAGCAAAACAAATACTCAAAGTGAGAAACAGTGTTACAATTGCAAGAGATGGGGACACATTGCAACAGTTTGCCCTAAAAGAACAACCACGCCAAATTTTAAAGAAGATGCCAAGCCTGCTTTCGTCAGTGAATCACGTAACAGCAAGTGCATGCGTGAAGGCAGAATCGGGGGAAAAGATGTAAAGATGCTTGTTGATACTGGTAGCTATGCAACTATTGTGAAAGCTGATCTTGTGGAGAGCGAAAAGTGGAATGGAGGAGAGACTATAAACGTTGTTTGTGTTCATGGAGATTCACTGAATTATCCAACAGCAGAAGTGGATTTGGAGATGGGTGGTTGGATAAACAAGACTAAGGTAGCTCTTGTACCAGGAGTACCAGTTGATGTGTTAACAGGGATAAAGGACTTTGACTTGTCAGAAGAAATCCCAAGCCAATCAAACTGTGCACACAATCTTGCTTTAATGACAAGATCACAGACAAGAAAAGAGGCTTAAAGGCAGAGAAAAGTGGAAGATGCTGAGAAAATAAGACTTCTGACAAAAAGGAAGCTAAGAGTGATTTTACAGAACAAATCAGGGAACCGCGTAACATACAAGATGAGATTAGGAAACCCGAGGAAGAAGAACCCAAAACCAAAACCGCCGCATCAGATAGTATTAATCCTGAGGATGCAGGTCCTGAGATAATTCAGAAGTGGCAGTCAGAAGACCCAACTTAAAGAAAGCGAGAGCCTTAGCAAGAGAACCTAAACAGCAGGAAGAAACAAGATCAGAAACAACTTTCTTTTACAGACAAGGCTTGTTATATCGCCAGTGGGTATCAAAGGGAAGTGTCAGTGAAGATAATCGATCTGTGGAACAGTTGGTACTTCCCCTACAGTGATGTAGCACAGTTCTTGCTTGCACACGATATACCCGCAGCTGGTCATCTTGGAATCAACAAACCCAAGGACAGAGTATTACAGCGCTGTTACTGGCCTGGTGTGTTCCAGGATGTTGCCAATCATTGCCGTACATGTGAGGTTTGCCAGAGAGCGCAAGGAAAGAGATATGGAGCACGAGCTGAAATGATCCCTCTGCCATTGATTAAGAAACCTTTCCAGAGAATAGCTATGGATATTATTGGACCATTCTTGAGGAGCAACAATGGCAACAAATATCTTCTTACAATTTGCGATTATGCGATGCGTTATCTAGAGGCTATACCCATACCCAACACAGAAGCAATTACAATCGCCAGAGCTTGTATCAGTGATTGCAAGGGTTGGGATTCCTGACGAG